GTCTAAAATTCTGTTCTCACTTTGTCATTATGAGGTACTGAGTGTAGATTAATGAGGAAAAAAATGAATTTGAATGATTGTAGTATCAACATAACAAAATTCAAAAAAGTGAAGGGGGTGTGAATACTTTCCGAATGCACTATATCTGCTATAATAATCATTGTAAGGAACCATACAAAAGATTGCAACATCTTGATCCCCAAAAATAAACACAATGTACAGAACAATATCCTCATATTCCCACAAATCTGAAACAGTGGAAAAAGCTGCAGATATGCATCTCTACTACAGTGAAAACCCCGGACACACAATAATTTTGATCATCTTAGCAGTATTCCAGAATCAGCACTTTCCAACAGGAAATATGCAAAATGCTTTGACCTCAATAAGTTCACACCATGAAAACCTGTTCAAGGCTCAAAACAACAAATGCATGTCAAGTATTGCTTTGAGTATCCCAAACATTGTGATTAGGCTGCTGTTTTATGGTTTATGATAGGGTTGCCTTGTATGTATACATTTTTTTTTTTCAACTTAACCAGTCAACAGCACATTTAGGCAGGATGAGGTAACATGGAATCAGAGTGTTCATAGGAAAGCAGCAGTCAAGCACATGACCAATAGAAAATTGGTATAAGTGCATGAGCTACTGTGTTTCACAGAGAAGGGCTGCCAATGCAAGTTGTGTAAACTCAACAAGTAAAATGTTGGTTTGTATGCATGTATATTCTCTCAATACTTGTTATTTTTTTTGTAACGTTAAAATTCAGAGAGTAAAATATTAGACTGTATGTGTGTGGGTACGTGTGCTCTGTGCATGCTCTTGTCACTTGCTGCAACAGTAATGTTATTCATGCAGTCAAGAAACTCCCACAAATCTTTTCACAGTCAGCAACCACCTTTACATGTAAGCAAAAACATCAGCAAAGAGCAGCAGTTTGCTTTTGCTGGGTTTGTCCCCTGACAGGCAATCTACCAAAAGACAAATAAACAAAACCTGTTACAATCTCACTGAGTAGATGAAGTAAAATGCCATATGTAAAAATTGACCAAGGGGGTGGAGTCTTTTTCATATATCAAGGAACTTTGTAAGACCAAAAGGAACTACAATGACCACCAGCCTGCCTGGCTTGTTCCTCTTAACGTAGGGGTCTGTTTATCTTCAGGCTGGGAGCAATAAATGTAAAAAAAATTTTTTTTGATTTATTATATCCCACCTTTCTTTCAGAAACTCAAACTGGCATATATAGCACTACTTCCTTCAATTTTTCTGGCAACAAAAATCTTGTTGTTAGGTAGGTTAGACTGAGAAAGAATGACTAGCCCAAAGTCACTCAATGAGTTTCCATGGCTTAAGGTGGACTTGAATCTGTGTCTTCGTAGTCTAATGACTTAATCACTACGGCATCTTGATTCTCAGTTAAATAGATGAATTTTTCTATCCTGTTGATGTGGTGGGTCAAGAACAGAAAAGGCTGAGGTAAAAGGGGATATGCATCTGATAAAAAATTCGAATTTAAACTAGTTTTTCACCTTTTCTGTCCTTTTTTTAGTGTTCTCAAAAATTGGTCAAAAATCATCTTGACCAATTATTCTGCAAGTTCACTGTTTAGCAGTTAGCACAGCCTGCTACCTCAAAATCAAATGAACCATAATAGGCTTAATGTACAGTAATATTACTCTGTAAATTAAATACATTTTAACTGATATTTTCTGGCCATTTCAGATACTTAAGCATCTAGTTAAAATTCTGGGCATGCTAACTTTGAAGGAGGAACCTTTCTAAAAGGTGAGCAATAGCTCCAGGCCTCCCCCATGGAGGACCCCAAGCCAAAACATAATACAAGTAGTCTTTGATTAACGATGGTAATGCAGTCATAAAGCATGACCACACCACTTAACAATGGCAGTTCTGGCACCTGTGGTTGCTGTTGTTAAGCAAATCCTGCAAGATCATTAAGCACAACATCACATGTTCACCATTTGTGACCTCCTGCCAGCTTCCTCACTGACTTGTTGGAGGCCAGCAATGAACATCACAAATGGCGATCACATGATGCTGCGACATCGTAAATGTGAGTTGGTAGTCGAGTGCCCAGATCACAATCACGTGCTGCAACAGCCAGAACTTTGAGGGTTGGTCATAAGTACCACTTGTCAGTTCCATTGTAAGTTCGAATGGTCGCTGAATGAGTGGTCATTAACTGAGAACCACTGTATAACATTTACATAAAGAGATCTGCTGAGTTGCCTCACACTTTGATTATTCAGTCAGTCAGTCAATCTTTATTGATTAGCCTTCTGGCCATTTCAATTTCATAAAAACAATCTAATACCACACTTTGATTATTACTTTTGGCATTCAATGGAAAAAAAAAAAAGAGGAAAAAATATACAGAAGTAAGAACAAGCAAGAAGAAAGTAGAGAGAGGAGAAACAAATGAAAATGCTTCCCATCATTCTAAGCACAGGGATTTAAAAAGACTTTAAGTAAGTCTCTCTAAACAAACGTGTATAGTATCAGGCTAATGAAAACAGGTATCAGTTGGAAACCTGACTGGGATATAGTACTGAGATAGCACTGACTGCATACTATAATTGTACTGGCAACATACAACTTTGTCAACTTACTAGGTTTTTTTTCTAAACCTCTTTGGTATAAAGATGTTAAATAAATGAATAAATAAGTAAATAACGGACTAAAACAGCAAGACAGAGATTGCTACAACTTACATAAAAGTATTACCTTGTGTATAGGCTGCATCATCAGATCCCATGCTCAGTTTTCGTGCTTCACTAATCCTATCGACATGTGCTAAAACAGGGTCAGTAAGGTGTTGGATATTTTCTGTTTCTGCAAAGTGTTCAGGAAGATTTAGAAGGTTTGTAGGTTCAAAAGTTGGGGACACCACACCTGGTGAAACTGCAGGGGGTTTATTTGGAGAAACAGTAATTTTAAAAGTGTATTTTGTGTTAGGCTGAGTAACCACTACTCGGGGAGAAGTGGCAGAAGCATTGTTTCCAATTGTTCTGCTTTTGGGAGGGTGGTGATGAATAAAGGCAGGTCCCATGCTAACTTGACCAGACATATTCCTAGATGTGGCAGTAACTCCTGGATTTGTTGATATGAAGAGTGTGGGCTGATTCCGTACAAGTTGTTCATCACCTGCAGAAGCATTGGCTGAAATGTACACCTTAGGCTGACTTCGTGTAATTATTTCATCTGTATTTGGTGGACTGGCAGCTATGTAAACAGTGGGTTGACTTCTACTTAAAGTCTGGCTGTTGCTGGAAGAGGAATTTGTGGATGAGCGGGGACCTGTAGAACGAAGTTTTGATGAATTATTTCTTTGCGGTGGTTCAAGTTTGATTTCAATTTGGTTTTTACGAGGTCCTGTTGATATGTTTTGGATATTATATTGGCTCTGGGCTGAAGAAGATTGTGAGCTACCAGATGAATGAACTGTAGGTGCTTGGGGAGTTGTAGGAGAACTTATAGGCATATACACATGAGAGGTCTGATGGCCTTGCTGGTTTGGCTGTTGTGATGAGGTATGTGTCAAGGAACTGGTTGTGGGAATAGTTGTCCAGGGATTTGAATGTGAAGGCTGGTAGTTTTGCTGAGAATGCATAGGATTGAACTGAGACATCCAAGCTGGATTTTGCTGATTCTGGCGAGTTGTACCACTTGGATTTGTGATGTAAGGTCTAATGTAGATAGAATTGCCTTGTGGACTGTTTATTGGAGGTACACCATGTATGTGCAAAGATGTTGGGGTATTCCGACCAGGCTGAATATTTGGGGCTAAAGTTACCATAATGGGATTAAATCTAGGTATTTGCTGAGCCAAGCCAGAAGATCCTTTACTGCCCAAGTGAAATCCAAAATGCTGTCCTGGATTGGAACTACTAGGAGTATTAGATATGCCAAAGAATCCCTGTGGAACTTGGACTGGAGCAGTCTGTGGTTCCTGATGACACAATTCACTGTTGGACAGGCTGGTCTGAAGGTGTCCATCACTAATACTATGAGTTAAAGTCCTACTTCCATTCATTCTACTTCCTTCTCTTCCATGGAGATTCACATTCTGTGATTGCAAATCCAAATTAAGGGATGTCATGTGATTTCGCAGGCTGGAAATGCCAGAATCATCTGAAAAACCAATGTCTCCTTCACCGTAGAGATACTTTGTGCTCTCCTTAGAGAGAACTGCACAACAGGCATCCAAATTATTATTATTCTATAACAAATTTAAAAACAGGCATCAGTAGAAGTCCTATAGTTTCACCACAGTTAGTTAAGAACTTAACAAAATACTAGCTTTCTGAAACATAAATCTAGTTGAAAATAGGCAAAAGAGGGATAAAGAAGCTCAGAAGAGAGAGAAACAATAAAAAAGTTAAAGTAGTTTGCTAAAGTTTAGCTGGGTTACAGCTAAAGAAAGATTGGGTTAAAATACTATGGTTGCAAATCTTATACTCGTTCTCTTGGGAGTTAATATCACTGAACTCAATTAGCCTTCTTTCTTTCTTTTGTGCGTGTGTGTGTGTGTGGGCATGCATGTGCACCTTCGAATCAATGTTGACTCCTGGTGACTGCCTGGACAAGTCCCTGCAATTTTCTTGCAACATTTTCAGAAGTGGTTTGCCTTTGCCTTCTTCCTAAGCCTGAGAAGACTAGAACTCATGATCTCCTGGTTTGCAACCCGATCCCTTAACCACTACACTAAACTGGCTATTTCAAAATAGATAAACATTAATAAGAAGTTCACTGTTAGACCTTCATCTTTAATAATTGATATTACTGTTGCTGAAATTACTAATTAAAAAATTTAAGAAACCTTACATGGATGGACATGGCATGAAAACAAGTAGTTAAGGGAGGAATCTAGTCAATGGATGAATATAACAAGGTATATTTCCATTACAGCCAATTAAATTCACCAAACTTCTCATGAGCAAATGGTTACTATCTTAATACTCAAAAGATCCATACAGAATGGGGTTTGGGTTTGGGTTAAATGCATGCTTATTTTGATCTCAATTGATTTTAAAAGTTATCTCTATATTTTCCTTATAAAAAATAAAAAATAAGAAAATATTTTCAAAGAGTTTCATCCAGTATCATACTACTTTTGGTGATGGAAGTAAAAATGAAAGGCATCTAGAAATTAACACCAATGCCTGGAAATACAATACAGAAAGGTTCTTGGATTTACAGGATATTTGTACATTTTAACATCTGATTTAAGCTAAAGCCCCATCATCTGAAGAAAAATTAAATGTGTTAAATTTTTAAAATACAGAATGACCTAGTTCTAAAAAAAGCTACAGAAATCCTAAACAGTATTTTAATCAGAAAATTAATATTTATACTAACAGCTACTAAAAATATGGTTAGGTTTAGTATAATTAATATAAATAAACAGCTGAAGAAATCAATTCAGGAGAGTCTACACTATCACAATGCTTCATGAAATACACAGGGGCACTGGAGGCCAGAAGACTAGCCATTTCCAATGGTGTAATGAGCAGGAATCAAATTAGAAGAAGAAAAACGGTTTAGCACCACTACCAAACCAGAACAGCAAAGCCTCTACACCAGTGATTCTTAATCTGGCCCTATCTTGGGGGTAATGGAGCAATTTGTAATTGCTTGTGAGCTGAAAATCTAGTTTGGGACTGCCGCTGCTGAGATGCTTATGTAAAACAACAGAGACTGGGGGGGGGTTGGTTGGGGGAAATTACATTATTTGAGACTGGGAGAAGGGGTAATTGGGCCAAACAGTATAAGAACCACTGTTCTACACAATCTAGAAATTACTGGGGTTTTCCTTCTTTTATAACAGGACTATCAGATGTTGAAAGGGACATGAAAAGAGTTTAAAACAATTCCTTCTCCCTTTTCAACTAGCTAAGTGGACAGCGTCAAGGGCTTCAGGAAACAAAAGAGTTTAGGGTGCTCTTTTACTATAGTAAACTCCCTAGTAGAAAAACTATTCTCCTAACCTATGTCTCTGCCCAAGGACAACCCCATCAACCCAACTTTATATCTCTTGTATTTTTATCAACTCCATCCAGCAGAAACAAGTGAAAGCTGCAAGAACTCCTGGGCCTACCACTGCTGAATACCTATCACCTATTGGTATACTGGATGCTATACTGTAAGGGATTCATCTTAAATATAATTTAATCAAGTGAGGAAAATGATAAATGCTATATGAAATCCTTTTATAAGAGAACTTTATGAAGCATATTAAGTATATTTTTAAAATTTGATACACAGCAATTTAAAATAAAATACAAAAGATTGTGCAAAGCAGCAAAAGCAAAATTAGAACTATTAAAAACATACAAAAAGAAAACAAATGATAATATTCAAACTGGGATAGGGAAAATGTATACCACAGAAAATATGCACTTAATAAGTTAGCAAAAAAAGGCTTTATAACTAATTTTCAATATCAGCACGACATTAAAATGCCTCCAAACATAGTAACAACATAGCACTGACCTGTAACATGCATCTGGACACAACAACTTCAGGTACCTCAGGAAATTTTTGGCGCAGGTCATTTAAAACCTGAAAATCAATTTGCTGGCTTCCTTGGGCCATTCGTATGTTGCCTGATCAGGATGTTTGTTCAATAGGCAGTTCCAGGCCTTAGTGTGAAATAAAAATCATCTCTTTTGTCCTAGCATTTTCTGTAAGCAAAACAAAAAACTTAAGTAAATCATCACATGCATTTGAATACAGCATTCTCAATACAAGCTTTATGATCTATGAAGAACAAAGTTGCTCACTTAGTCATAACCTCCTTGTTTTAGCGACCCGTAACTAACTGCAGTCACTAAATGAGGACTACCTGTAATGTCCTAATTCATCTTGTTGGAAGAAAATCAGCCCTCTTCAAGAGTATATGTTTAACTATGCTATTGATCAGTAGCTGGAAAAAAGTTCTGGCTATGTCTATATTATACTTCAGTGTGACACAAATAAATTAATTAAAGAAGTTATGTGAGGGAACTACTAATATGTTAACAAGCTTAGTTCTTACTGAAGCTAAACAGATAATTATGATAATGAATAGTAAATTTTCAATTTAACAACCACTTGAGGAGAAAAACTATCTGCTAAATCCAAATGTCCATTAAATCTGAATCAATTGTATTTGTGTTATTTGCATCCCACCATGGCTATTTTAATGTTTCCACATCATGTAAGCCCTTGAGAGTTATGAGATTATGGTAAGATAGAAATGTAATGAATAAATAAATAATATCACATATACTGTCCATTATGCAAATGACATAAACTGATGCAAACAATGTAAATAACATCAATTACATGGATCTACATATTATACATAAGTGATATATTTAGGTGCTTGTATTCTTTTTTTATCCTTTATTCTGTTTAGGATTATTTGTAGTTTATTAGTTATTTTTTATTTTTTTGTATTTCATTGTTTGTCTACCTTTTGTATTTTTATTTTTTGAAATCTTGTTAAATATAACAAAATGGCAGGGGGGAAGCAACTGTCTAAAAATACTTTGGAGATGAAATAAAATTTTGTCTATTGCACAAAATTCCACTGAATGGAGGACTGGAGAATCAAGGGCTTATTGTAGTTGCAAATTTCCAACTCTTTAAGCAAACCTGCAGGTTTTTAAACATTTACTATCTGCGACATCACTCAATGGGAAAAATACCAATTTTCCCACTTTGTTTAATATAATTAATATATTTAATTTAATTATATTTTATTATTTATTAACAAGTTTTACAATGTCTCTGATTAGCAACCTTTCTATGGCTGAAAAGTAAGATAATCCATGCTTCTCTTTCCACAGAAATGATTAAACACATTTCTGAACAATAGGCAAGAGAGCAAACATTTGTGCATTAGTAATTTTTGCACGTATATTTGTAACATTGAATGCATAGTCCAAAACTGCACAATAACTTGATATAATTATGTTGTCATGGCCAGGATCTATGCAACTACTGGTAGCCATTTTCAAAGTAGCCATTTTCTACTTTAATAATAGGACTGTACCTTCCCGCTAGAGTCAGCCCAACCACACCACTAGTGCTGGGAAAAGCAGCTGATTTTCCCCCTTCCCATTTTCAGGAAGTTAGGGGAGCCAAAGCCTGGAAGCTGGAGCTTTTCTGGAAAGCTTTGGGGGCCTGATACTACATATTTTGTTTGGGTTTTATTTGCCTCACTTTTTATATTTATTGCATTTTTATACCTTGTTAGCCAAGAGTCTTGTGATTCTGTCAGCATACAAATTTGATCAATAAATAGCAATGTTGTGGCAGTATTGTGGACCTTTTTTGTTCTAACACTCTTTATGGTTTCATAATATTTATTAAAAGCTACTATGAAGATCCCATTGGTGGAAGATGTAGCCACAGAATATTTTAATATAATAAAATTATTCTACACTACTGAATAAGAGCACTGTTCTTCTGTTGCAGTGCTAACCTTTGCAGGAGACACAGTCTGCTGATCAAGTGAAGAAGCTATTTCTACCCAGTATATGTTGGGTAGCAATATAAGAAAAATTGTAATAATTTTACATGTCATTTAAAAAGAAAATATTTGGAAATGTTTCAATATTTGGAGAAAACAAAGTCATCATAAGAAAAATTAGTAATATTTTTTTAAAAATCAGTCTAGTTTTCCCTCCACGCTTTCCTATCTCTGTACTGGTCTTGATATAAATTAGTGTAAATAAGTAGTTACCAGTTATTATGACAAACTGCTGTTCAAACAAATCTGCAATCTTTAAAACATATAATTTTCTGCAATTTCAAAGGACAGAATTTTTTCCACTGACCATATATAATAAATACCATATTTAAGAAACCTTGTTCTAATGACAACTGCTAAAGTCACCAAACTTAAGAATTCCAACAAACCAATAAAATGATATAGTATAAACAGATCTTCAGTTGAACCATTCTGTGAAAATCAGCAAGAAAAAAATGTTGTTATATAAGCTAGACTTTCAAAAATCAGCAATACAGGTCAAGAACTAGTGTGCTGAATAAATATTTTATTCCAGCTATTAAAATGCCTATAATTACAATACCTAATCCATATAGACACTTCTGTCAAAAGTACAGCTGAATTTGCATACATACATACAGTCTGTAAACAATAATTATAATGCCCATATATTCCAGCAATATGAACTAACAATAAGGTGAAACCATAAGCAAAACACGCAAGCACATGAAGTACTACTGTATACTGGCTTTTACAGAAGTCTGCAGGTAACTCATGACTTCCTTACCTGATTACTCTGGAACAAGAGTTAGCAACTATTTGGGCAGTTGAAATGCACTTAAAGATTGTGACATGAAGTCACTTATTCCTTCCTGAGATAAAAAAAAATCGCCATGGAAATGGAAGTCTCAGATAACTAAACTTTCTTCTCACTCCCATATTATCTTTCTCGGGCACAATCTAACACTACAGGTAGTCCTTGTTTTATGACCCTAATTGGGACTGGAATTTCCACTCCTGAAGCAATCAAACATCATATGACCTCACCACTTAGTGATGCAGTTCCAGTAGTCCCAGTTGCGGTTGTTAGGCCAGTGTGATGGAATGGACTTATGAAGGCCAGGCTCAGGGAGATAAACGTGTTCTTAGCCCCCAACAGG